GTAAAATAAAATTGGGCCACCAACACAGCCGCTACTAATAATGTTCAGTTATACAACATACTTGTGTCCATTTTTGTAGATCGCAGTATGTCATACAGGGCTAAAAGCCACAAAAGCAAGTCTAGAGAGTTTAACAAATTTGAGATACATTTTGACCATCGCTTTGAGCTTGACTTCTACAGCATGAGGAGGCCTCTTACCAACCCTTCCTCTATGGGTCCTTTTCCTTATTAACACAAAGATCTTCTTATCCTCACAGCGTACATCTCTCTCTATTATACTCCACTGCAGATAATTACACAAGATATTCACATAGAACTTCACCAACTCTTGCTCACCTTTTCAAAGCTCTGCCTGCGGGAGGCACTTTTCTCCAACCAGAGCATGGCAGCTTCAAATACAGTCTCCTCCTTTGGCACATTGAGGTCATCACTGGAGATAATTTCAGTGAGTTTATCGGCACACAGGGAGAGGAACTCCTCCTGTAAGAGCCACCCGAAACAGATTACTGAGATGTGCTGAGTCTGAGACTAATGCATCAAGATTGACCAATTATAAAACTAATTTTTGATTTAATATAAAATGCTATCTAAAAAAAATGTGACGACTGGGAGAACATACTGAGAAAACAAGACGCTAACTTTATGTGCTATGTGACAAAAAATGTTTATTATTGTTTAGTTATATGTTGTTATGGCAAGTGTGCAGCATTCCATTAACCATCTTCCATAAGTGGTAAAACCACTAATAAAACAGGGTTATTCCTCTTTTTGTGTGGTGGACAATTCTCAACTTAGTACCTGGTTAAACCAAAGCTGTGAAAAACAGTTTCCTGCTGATCTCACCTGCTGGCAGACAGTGCTAAAATGCTGCTGGATGTATTCCATGCTGCGGCGCTCCAGCTCCTTACATGAGTGAGCTTCAGCGAAGCAGTGAATGCCCACACAATTGATCTCATCCATCTGCCGCTCCATGAACCTGCAGCAGGCCTCACGCACGGCCCTCACGTCCAGAAGGTTGGCAGCAGCCAGCAGGGCCTGCACGTTGGCCTTGGAGATCACTACCTCCGCCGTATAGGCGTAGCTGACCAGCATGCCAATCATCTGAGGCTCCACACCATTGATGGCCACGCGCTCCTGCCGCGACTCCATCAGGTCAGTGGAGAACATGGCCTGTGAGAGTTGTGGAGAGTCAGCTATGATGGAAATTGCACAGCCACTTCCTGTCTATCGATGTTGGCAAGGTTTTGACCAATAAGCAAATTCACTTTAAAACATTCACGAATGTCAATGTCCAATAGACCGTGCAAAATTTGAAGTTTGTATCTTTATTAGTTTCTGAGGTTTAGAGGTGGGCATGGCCTACGGAAATTCAGAATTTGGTAACTCATGCTAATTTGGCAACTAGGTATTTGTCTCAGAGCAATAAAGGCTTCCGATTTATAACCTATTAAAAACAAAATAATACACATCTTGCCTGCATTTCAAATACAGATTGCTCATGTTTAACATGGTCAACTACAAAATAATTCATACCAATGGGAAAAACACATTTCAGTTACAATTGCTAGATATGGCTAGATATGTCTGGAAGTGAAAGCTAACATCTGTAATTTGTTCCAAATCCACGGACATGAACTCCACTTCAGTGGCTTCCCATTTGCTTGCTTCAAGAGCAGATTTTTACCTGAAAGTAGGAGCTGAAGGAGGCCAGCACGATGCGGTGACATGGAAACTCTTGTCCTCCACAACAGAGAGTGACATCGCAGAAGGCGTTGTTAAGCCGTAGGCTGTTCAGTCCTTCCAGCACCTTGTTGGGGTGACGGGGCTCCACGAACACGTAGTCTTCACTGTCCAAACTTCCGAGTGGCAGGCCAGGGTCCTCCAAACACGGTGAGGGTGGCAGCGTGGCCGTAGCAGGGGAAGCAGTCAGCATATTTACAGCCATGATTTCCATTCTGACACTACTGCAGGCTGTAAGAACAAAACAGAATATTTTGACTGCATATGGAAAAAACTGCTTGTACTGGTCATTTCCAATTACTTTCCTTATGAAAAAAAAAACTAGAGTAATTCTACATGAATTTCTACAGGATCTAGGAATATTTTCGACAACTATATTACACTACAGAATACTGCACAATTATTAGTAACAACGATGTTGCAGTTATTTCATACAGAGGTAAAAATATTATCGATTGTTATATATGTTATAAGTGAAGAAAATTTCAGATGACATTGGCCTTTAAAATGTATTAAAAATGCCATTCAAAATTGTCTTAGCCTAACCATAATCAGTTACTTACAAGTAATATACACCCAAATGCTTACAAAGCATAAAATATATATTTAATTTATAACAGGATGAAGGTTCTCTTGTCAGAAACAAAATCATTAATTAAAACAATCACTTGAATTTGTACACAGATTCTCCTTCACTCTGCCCGGCTAAGGCGTTCTGCCTTCTTCTCTTTACCACATCAGTATGTTGACACATAGTATTATGGAAAAAAAGGGACAGCATCTACACTGCCTTCAAAAACAGCCAAATGAAGCAACTTCAGCAGGCAGTGTTTTATGTAAACATTCAGTTCAGACATGACTGGGTGTCTTATTCATATGGCAGAAACATAACATCACAATACATAAAGACATTCCTACAATAAGCTTCACAATATTTACTCTGTCTGAGGTTTTATAAGTTGGAACAGACATAAAAGGACCAACAATGCAACAATTTAAAAAAAACTACCAACAACTAGGACTACATTGAATTTTATTGAAGGTTTCACATTCTGCTCTGCATTAAATCCAATTAAGCAGGAATAAGTATTGTAGAGAAATTTGCTGACACTGATTCTCATTACAGTAGTAGTGATAAAAAACAGAGGAACATCTGAAAAAAACTGATAACTATTATGAGCCATAGTGTTCATGACATTAGCTCCTAATAGTGCAATAATAAGTGAGCATCATTTTCCAGACTAGCTTTAAAAAGTGTCTCACTCTACCAAGCAAAGGCAGTACTTAAAACTCACTTAATAAAGAATAATTAAATATAATATAAATATATTTTGTGACCAGCATATATATTTTGAATACACAGGAGAAGTTCTTTCTGCTTCTCTTTCACTATACAATCTTACATGAAAAAGTAAAAAAAATAACAACAACAACAACAACAATAATAATAATAATAATAATAATAATAATAATTAAAAAAAGAAGGTATTTGCATATGTCAGTCCACTCAACATGTTCTTGGTGGAATCATTAAAATGTAGAGTGGACAATATGACAATATTAATTGTTATTGTGATCAATTACAGCACATTGTCACAATTCACTTTTCTGAGCATATCATTGATATTGTCATTACTTAAAGAGCACTGACTTACTTCATGTTTTATTACAAAGAGAGTATGATCAATCCTAGTTACTTGGATTTAGATCTGTGGTGTACATGAATAGTGAATAAAAATAACAATATTTTTAAAGGTGGCATCACTGGTTCTTTTTGTCTGTTTCTAGCACAAAAATCTCTAAATATCGTGATATTTATCATGTATCAAGAAAATGTTTTGAAGTATCATATTTTTTTTTTTTTCCTGTTAAGACACCAAACACATCAGATTTTAATCCTAAAGTCCTTTTTCAGCAGGGAGCAACACAGAAATCTTGTAGTTTCTGATAATAATACTGTAGATCATTATGCAATGCTTCCCCACAGTTTTAAGATTTTTCACAGGTCTGCACTGATCTAAATCAACAGTACTGATGAAAGACATTAAAGATGTGATACAGGTCAGCGTTCGTGTTTTATTTAAAGCCACTAAACACAGACAGCTCTTCTCCTCCACTGCCAATGGCTTGTCTAGCTACATGTCAGATCATGGGCGTGCACCGTAAACAACGCTGCCGTAAGAAATTATTTCCCTTATATGTGCAGTCAGCAGGTTAGTTACCCTTACGCTGTTAATACACCTACTGAACAGAAGACCTACTCTAACATTAGCTGATATACTCGCTGATAAACGGACTAATGTAAAGTCTGTCCGCCGTTAAGCCGCTGGTCCAGGGGGAGTTGACATGAACTGTTACTACAGCTGCTGATCCGACACATTTAGGCATTAATGCTCGTTTGAACCACTTCATTTACAGATGTCGACGACACGAAACGCACGAAAACACAGCAATAAAACAGCCATGACAACACAACATCGTCTTACCTGAAAAACATCATTTTATTTAATAAAACAGAATATAATCCTCATATCTCGACCTCAAACTGTTTGTGAGTCGTGACGCCATCTCTTCTTCATTGAGAGCAGAAAGTGTTGAGCACAAACACAGGCGGCTGCCTAGCGCCACCTACAGCTTCTAGAAAACACAGGTACAAATAACGCTTTTTTTATTATATTTAATTTCACTAAAACCCTAATCTCCTTCCTCATGGTGACCCCCTTCTTTTACACCCATTTCCCAACCCCCCCCCCGGCCATAACACACAGAGCACATGCGCTCGCAACTGACCGAACAAACATAAACAGCAACACAAAGAGGCCGTCCAACCGAGGGCGGGGCTACGGCGCACACTTTGCATACCACGCCCCTCTCTGAAAAAAGCATAAGGCTGCTGCCACAGTATTTTACTTACATAAATTGAGGCTCTAAAGCGCAAAAAAGCAACAGTTTTTACTGTGTTACAGGCCAGGTTTGAACATTAGCATATATGAGCTAAATTAACTAACAGACAAAAGAAGTAAAGACAAAAAAAAGGAATAAAATTTGTTTTTGCATGATATGGTCGCTCAAATTGTTTTCGAAAATACCATTATAATGGTCTCAGCCTAACCAGAATCAGTTATTTATAAGTAGCATATAAACAAATGCTTACAAAACACACATTTTTTCTAAACCGCTCACCCCTCCCGGTTGCAGGGGGGCGGTGCTGAAGCCTATCCCAGCGGAAGGCAGGATACACCCTGAACAGGTCGCTTACAAAGCTTTTCAAAATATATATTTCATTTACGACGATGAAGGCTCTACTGGCTTTCTTTCTTATTTTTTATTTACATATCCAGGGTGCAACTGCAAACGAAAAATATGAGGTATGTTTTGTAAATTCTATATTTGTATCTGTTTACAAATTCCTTGACCTCTGTGCACAGGGTTGAGGCAACCTATAAAAACTTTGAGCCTCTATCCAGGTCTTTGGTCTGCATCACGGGAATGTCTGCTGATCTTTATGAGTGGCAAATATTCCGCAAGCCAAGACTGAGAGGCCATGTTCGGGACCTTTCTTCAGCGAGTGTCTGAGAGAATGCTAAAAGGTGCAGCACCAACAGCTGAAATGAGGAGGGGTCTGGAGATGGAGGCAGCAATGGAGTATGCCAAGATAAAAAATGTAAATTGTTATTTACAACTGTGGCCTTCTGATCCACCCTGACATCCCCTGGCTTGCTTCCTCCCCAGACGACAAGGTGTTTGGCCTTCTTGGAAACCCACCATTTGGTTTAGTGAGTTCAAGTGTCCTAATGTGCCCAGCTTTGTGGACTGCAAATACATTGTAATGAAGAATGACTCATTCATCCTGAATACACAGCTTGATTATTACTGGCGAGTTTGAGGCCAGCTTCTCATTTCAGGCGTGGTGTGATTTTGTTGTGTGCGCAGATTTTTTTGGAAAGTATGTACAGGATAAGACAGAAAGGTGACTGGTTCTATTATTATGTGTACATGCAGAGCTTAAACATTTTCAGAAATTATGACGCTGTGCTTTTCCTTGAAAAAACCCCACAAATTCAGGGAAAGGTCGTTGTTAGAAAATGTGATAGCGTGTGGCGTTATTACAGTCAGGCCTTTCAGGGTGCTGTGGTTTTTAGATTGAGCACATCTCACTTTGAAGAGGTAGACTGGTTTGGTGTTGGCGTCTCAGTTCCGTGCAGTGGAGGATGACCTGTAGCAAACAACAAAATGACTTTTTTCTCATTTTTACAGATCAGAAGTCCCCTTGGATCCCCCATAGTATTTGTTGCAGAGGTATGTGTGTCAGACACAGCAGTGTTGCTGGTGCCCAAATTCTTCTCCGACTATGACGCTGTCTTTGTGATTTTGTCCACGGCTCATCTAATCATATAAAAGCCACAGCTACAAAGACAGGACAGAACTGTCTTTTCTTCAACAGCCCAGCAGGAATGTTAAAAACATACTTTTTATTATTGCATAAATATATGTGATATATAAGTTGATATTTGCATGTTTATTTTGATGTTTTAAACACCTAAACATGCAATAAATATCATCTGACATTACAAGAAAAAAATTGTATTATTTATTCAGGATACATTTCTAAACAAATGTACTTGTAATTTTTTGGACCTTAACCCATCAGTCTGTCTTATCAGCTACTTAGTTTGCTGTCAATAAAATTTTCCATTCTTTCAGTACAGCCAGTATGTTTCTCTTAATTTTGTGAATTTCACAGTTAACAAATATATTGATTACAAAATTTAAAAAAAATCAAGGTCTTTATCTCTTCCACACATCCCACTGCAGCCTGCTATCTGCACTATTTTGCCATGAACAACATGAATGATGCTGCTACACCACAGCACTGACAAAAAGTACAAAGAAAAGATTTCCAATGTTTTCACTGACCAACTTAATTGTATTTTTGTAGATGGACATTAGTATATTACAAAATGTCTCAGCTTTTCTGGAGATGGGGTTCGTACATTTATGAGGCAAAATTAAAATCAACCAAACAAGAACTCAGGTTAAATGACTCAGTGCACAGCCTACCAGATTTAAATTTGAGCATCAGAACTTGAGCAGCATTAATGTATAATTCTCTTCTTCCAAACCAGACTGTAGTTTGAGTTAATTCAAATTAATGCTCCATTTATAGCTTTTCAGGGACAACTGTGAAACATAAGGCAACAGCAGTTGTATAATTTCTTTTAACTAATGCTCTGAATCTTTAAAATAAGTTTATTCTGCCATCAAACTTTAGAGACTTTTCTTACTAGGACTTCATCTTTATCACAGGACTACTATAAACCTAGGTTTCCTATTTTCTATTGATTTAAAGGCCAAAACATAGGAATTGTTAAATCTGTGCACAATTGAATGTAGGCCTGGCCTTTCGAATTCTGACTGACTAAAAACATCCCACCTATTACATTTCATTGCCTTCTACTCAAAGCAGTCCCCAACCACAGTCATCATAAAGTTGCGTTCAGCAGGCTGAAGATTCTCCACAAGGGGAGGCTTTTCGCTCTCAAGTCACTTACGTTTGCTCTGTATTGTGCTTTCTTTTAAAAGGTTAGTATAGGCTGAAACACCCCTTTTAACTGAAGTTTGAATAGGCAGGGCTAAACTGTTGTAGGCTGAACAGGTGGATGAATGTAAATACTTTGGTTTTAGTGACATCACAAAAACAATGAATTCAAAACGGGCTTCTTAATAATTTAATAATAATTTCTTAATAATTTAAGTATGTGTAGATCATCTATAGGGGACCATCAAAACCGTACATGGATGCCATAGCTATGTATAATCATCATCATAGCTCTTGAGAAAAATGGGTAAAGGAGAGAAAATGTACATACGTTAGCTTCATTTGTAAGCAAATTTAAATGGCAAAAAAATACAAGACAAGAATTTACTGATGAATTTTTTTTTTCTATAATAAAGTATTTTACATATTTTATTAAAAGCATCTTAAATTTATAGTATATATAGCTTTATATCAATCTTTTAAAAGCTTTGACACAGTGTGATGAGGAATAAGCAGTTGAATCACTTAAAGAGTTTCAGATAAATGACACTGGAAATATTCATACACAGTGGTGTGCAAAAGTTTGGGCACCTCTGGTCAAATTACACATTTTGTTGACTTTTTAGATGAAAAAGAGTAACACACCCTCAGAGAACACACTTCTGTATGTTTTACTACATGATGATTGTTTATCTGCTGAACTTAACAAATTTTCTGCACTAAATTTGCAGAAAAATATTTCAGCTTATTCCCTGGAGAGCATTTGTACTTATTTTCACTAATAAAATCAGCAAAACACGTTCAAGCTGTTGCGTACAACTGTACATACGGTGGCATTACAGGAAGGTGTCCTTCATGACACCAGGCTGCTCCAAGGCTGCTTTCCTTCTAGCCGCTGCTTCCAGAATCTTCTTGCGAGGTCCTAGCTGGATCCGGATGCTTTTTAGATCATCATCTGAGCAGAGCATGAGGGCTTCCAGGTCCAACTGCTCACGGACGAACACGGGGGCAAAGTCCAGCAGGTTAACAGAGTTAAGGAAAGCGTCCAGGGGCAAAGTCTCCTCTTCATCCTCGTCCAGTCCGAGCTCCTCCTGCTTCCAAGGCAGCTGTGAGTCCTCTTCTGAATAATCCTCCATTCCTTCATCTTCTGCCTCAAACACCTCCTTGCGGATGAGGTATCCGAGGTCCTCCATGTCGCCACTGGGGAATTCATCTGGCTCAATGCCCATTTCCATAGAGAAATTCTTTCGGAAAACCATGTTCCCAAGGCCGGGTCTTTTAAAGATAGACTCCTTCGCTTGACCAGCACCTTCTTCATCTTCTTCATCTTTGAAACCTCCCATTCCATCTTCATCCTCCTCGTTTTCATCCAGCTCATTGAAGACGTCTGTGAATTCCGGCTTCTCTGCATTTCCATTCTCCTGCTTTACGTATATAACATTGCTGTCCCCTTGTCTAGACACAGTTCCCTTGTCCTTCTTTCCAAACTTGCGCTGGAGGGTTCCCTTGATCGTTGCCTTGATAGACCCAGTTGTGTCTGAGGCGATGAGCTTTGAGAACTGCTCGTTGACGTTATTCATTGTGCCTGTGCTGGAGAGAGAAGATACGCTGGCTTCGGAGACAGAGCCACGATACATCTTGTCCATCTTACTCTGGTGCCTCTTCTTGACCTTCTCGCACAGCTTCACCCTGCGCTCTGCATCTTTGACCGCCTGCTCCTTCAAGCGAGCCACCTTCTTTGCATTCTGGCGGGTCTGCTGAGAGGCGGCGTTGTCTAGGAAGCGGACGCAATTCATCTGATCCCTGGAGGCAGCCACATCCATAGGAGTGTGGAAGTCATTGTCCAAAGCGAAGAGATTGGCTCCGAAGTTCACCAGGAAGCTAAGGATGTGCATGTGTCCGTTGGAGGCTGCGTGGTGTAAGGGCGTGTTCCCCCAGATGTCACTTCTGTCAGGATCTCCACTGTAAAACAAACACATGGTGTATCATTTAGAGCTATTCTTTAACAACCTTGCACAACCTTGTGTTGTAATTTGGGAATTATATGCAGAATCTTTAAAGAATCTATAAAGATTCTGCTGTATCTTTGACATACTTTATTAGTCCAATTGCATAACAACCCGCCATTCAATCCTAACTTGATACCATCCTGTCAGTTGTTTTCACTCAAATCACAGCTGATATGATAACTTATTATTGAAAAACACCAGCTGGCCTTTAAGAACTGTGAATATTTAGTGATGATAAAAATGATCCAAAAACATCTGGGAAATTCATCTCATTACATTAACATACATTAAGAGAACGAATTACCCAAACATATATACTCCCCTTAGCCCAAACATAGCCATTTGGTAAAGACATATTTGGTGTCTGAATTGGCTATGAAGCTAATATAATACAAATATTATTTTATGGGTGACACAGACTGCCATTACCGGTTAGCTACATTGTCCTACTAGACCTAGTGCAAAAAATTTTTATTTACTGACTACGTTTCAGGTAATTGGAGAATTGTATAAACTTGATTTTTTAGCCAATCATTCATTGAAAAGTAAGAAAATTTAAAAAACTTTCTTGTAAAGTTACCATTTTGAAAATATAGCATCTTGTTACAGCAACAAGGAACTGTAGGTCTTTACCATCTGCTTTATTATAGCTAATATAATGATTAACACAGAGTAGCAAGTTAATCTGTAATCCATTAAGAGCGAAGGTCAATGTGAGGTCCAGCCATGCACGTAAAATCTGTGATAACAATATCGACAACAGCTTATTTCTGTGTGTGTAGCACCTTTCCATAGTAACAACAGCTCGGCGCTGATAACAAAGGTTATTTCCAAGTCATCAGTAGATGTCTAATTAAACCTGACATGGAAAATTGACCTATTATAATTATTCCATTGCATGCAAAAGTGTGGGCACCCCTGGCCAAATGAAATATTTTGCTGATTTTTGAAGAGAAAAAAGTAAACACAACCTCTGCAGCAAACTATTAAAAACATTTTGTAAATGTTAATATACAGCTACTGCAAATCAGATTAACTTATAAATACTTAGAAATAAATAAAATGGAAATTGTGGTCATGTGCAAAAGTCTAGACACCTTACGAAGTTAGAACTGAGTAACACCTCTTTGTCAGATATCACAGCTTGCAGACACTTTTTGAAGCCTGCCAGGAGTCTCTCTGTTTTTGTTTAAGGAATTGTCACCCACTTTTCTATGCTTAGTTCTGCAATATTTTGGGTTGTCTTGCATACACGCTATGTTTAAAATCTACACACAGATTTTCAAGTCTGTGACTGTGAGGGCCATTCCAAAAGCTTCAGCTTGTGTTTCTTGCAGTAGTTCATAGTAGATTTTGGTGTTTGTTGTGGATCATCGTCATGTTGTAGAAGCCAGCCTCTTTTCAGCTTCAGTCTCTTGACTGGCTGCATCACATTTTCTTCTAGAACTTGCTGATATTTAGTGGAATCCATTCTTCCATCTACGCATACAATGTTTCTTGTTCAAGTGGCTGCCACACAGTCCTAAAGCACAGGAGATCCCCCCATGCTTAAAAGATGGCAAGGTGTTCTTTTTCGGTTGACAACACTTGTCTCCAAATTGTCTCTGGCTTATCTAGATGTTGTTTTGCCTTCTCTAGATGTTGACTTTTGTGATGAAGTTGCAGGTCAGATTTCCTTTTCATGACTTTTCTATGCAGGTTATGTTTGTACAAGCAACACTGCACAGCAGAACAGTGCACCACTGCTCCTTTGTCAGTTAACCCTTCCTGCAGGTACTTTTCTGGGAGTTTTGCTTTGCCTTTCTGGCCAAAGTACTAGAAGTTTTCTTGGTCTTCTAGATCTCCAGTTCAACTTAAGTGCCATTTATAATGACATTTTAGACAGTAGAAACTGCAAGCTGGAAGCACTTTGAAATCTTTTTATAGCTTTCCCTGCTTTATAGGCATCAATAAGTTTCATTTTCAGACCCTCAGCCAGCTGCTTAGAGGAACCCATGGTTGTTGAGTGTTAGCAGAGGATTTAAAGAGTCAGAGAATATATGATGTCCCATCAGCTGTCAATTCCTGACCTGCCTAATCAGTCCTAACGAGTCAATTAAGGCCTAACAAGTTAATTAAGGGCTGAGATTTTACAACTGGAAGGGTGTCAAAACTTTGGCACATTCTGCAAATACTATTTTTCTTTCTTTTTCTTTGAAATTAATCAAATTAACCTAACCGTGCATTAACATTTGCAGAAAAATGTCATTTTTAGGGGAGGTTGTGTTTAAATTTTACTGTTGACTTTCAACAAAATAAAGAAATCAACAAAATATGTCATTTGGCCAGGGGGCCCAAACATTTGCACACAACTGTGTTTTAGCTTTGTGGAACCATCAATAGTGAACAAGCTACAGAAGCATGAGAAGCCCTGTTGTTTCTTATTTACATAATTCATTTGCCTCATTAAACGCTTGGCATCGCTTATGGGAATACAAAGAAGGAAAAGAGAATGGCAGATTGTAACAGACTGAAACAGAAAAACGAGGCCAAGATAATCTCTGACACTCTGCCAGAATGAGTGTTGTTTTTTCAGTTATGAAAGACAGAAATGGTCCATTTTAAACTTTCAGGACTTTGCCATGATACACATGCCTGGCTGTATTGTTTATAGACTGGAAATGAACAGACTTCACATTCTTTTACAAAGATAAAGTAGAATGATGGCTACCTTTACACTAAGTGAAGAAGCCAGAAGTGTCCAATGACAATAAAAAAGGACACATCTGAGCACATTGAAAAGTTTGCAAAAATCAGATTGTCATCTTGTGAGGCTACTTACAAAAGATTTTTTAAACAATAAACTATAACTTACTATTACACCTAATTTCTGTTTACAGATATCCTAAAAAAATTCCCCTCTTCTTTTGCAACCAGTGCAAAACAAATAATATCTAGTCTCTTTGATTCCTAAATACCTTAGATTTTTTTTAAAAGTCATGAGAGACTTCTAAATGTTTTTACCTTCAAAGGAATAAACAGAGTACGTTAATCTGCTGAACAGCTGGAACTGATTTATCCAAAACATATAACCTACAGTACGTGTGTATGTGGAGTGAACAAAGAGCAGAAAATAAAGCTCACCCTCTGCTACAGATAAGCTGAAGAGCCTCCAGTCGTCCATGGTAAGCTGCCCACAGAGTGGGTGTCATGCCATCCTCGTCAGGGGTGTTCAAATCCTTTTTAGTGGCCTCCTTTAAGAGATCCAAATAGCCATCAATGGCTGCTTTATGATATCTTGACATGACTGTGACAGATACTAGCAAGTTTTGAACAAAAGATTCAACTGTAATCAGGCACGCAGCTTCAGAAGAACATTTTCAGACCCCTCTCTTCTCTCTCCACACGTCCAAAAGCAGAAGTGAGCGGGGCTGAATTGCCCAGCCAGGGCGTCATTACCACTTAGTCAGAGCCATAAAACAAAGCAAAGTCCACCGTTTGCTGTGGCACTGTGAAGAGACAGTATTGTTTCACAGTAAACTGAACTGAACTAAAAAACACTTTTCCACAGGGATACTTTTTTGCTTCTCTTTATTTTTTTTTGTGATAAAAATTTAATGCCACAAAACAGCCCTATACCTGTTTATTAGGGCTGCACATTGTCACAACAACAATTAACAAATTATATTTTGTGCACAATAATCACTATAGTTATATCACTTGTTTATCGTGTCATCGGCCATTGCAATATGAATGTTTTATTGTATGCTTTGAATATCTTGGCCAATCACAGATATTCTCTAGATGTTTTTGGAAGAATCAAGGCATTCACACAGACAGACACACACACACACACACACACACACACACACACACACACACACCCAGTTCCAAATCAATAGGCATTAATATGGAGTCGGTCCTCCATTGAAGCTACAACACTCTACTTCCACTCTTCTGGGAAGCTTTCTACAAAATTTTGAAGTGTGTCTGTTGGAATTTATGCCCATTACAGAGCATCTGTGAGGTCAGACACTGATGTTGGATGAAAGGGCCTGGCTCGCAATCTCTGTTCTAGTTCATCCCAAAGGTGTTCAATGGGGTTGAGGTCAGGGCTCTGTGCGGGCCTGTCAAGTTCTTCCACACCAAACTCACCCAGCCGTGCCTGTTTTGTGCACTGGGGCTCAGTCATGGTTGAAACAGAAAAGGGTCTTCCCCAAACCGTTCCCACAATGTTATAAGCATACAAATGTCTTGGTAAGCTGAAGCATTAAGTTCTCCCTTCACTGGAACTAAGGGGTCTAGGCCAACCCCTAGGCCAAAATGTCAAGAAAATAATTATTTTGAGAGTCTAAGTCAATATTCAGAGAAAATAATTAATTACGTCAAGATTCTTTGTTGAAGGTTTGATATGCTTCTGCTCTGAACAGAGGAGGAGAAAAAGAAACTGCAACATGTAGCAATATGTACATTGTGCAACCTAACCAGAATACTAAACTACTGCCTTCTAAACACAGCCTTTTCACTGATCACCTTTGGGAATAGTTTACTGGGGACATTTTATCACAACATTTATCACAATGACCTTTCCCCAGCACCAATCAGCTGCCTTAGTTTACTTATTAGGTTCCCAGACATTTTCACACCTTATCCGATCTAAACGCATTAAAACACTGGAAACAGCAACGACAGACCACCATGTTGAACATCAAAATATAAAAATGAGAAAATTAATAAATAAATAAAACAAAAGACAGTCCATATATTTAGATGGGGAATCATCTGGGTACATTGATACTTATGTACAAAGTAAATGCATAACACAGTCAAAATATTCATTGAAATTCAGTCTTTTTCTCCTCCAGGAATAGGCCAACCTTCACAGACATTTCATTACCCAGATGTAGCTCAAGATTTTCAGACCTAAGCCAGTTTTGAAAAGATGTCCAGAATGTTTGTACCTTTTCACACTGAAGGAAAATATGTTTCAATGTTATTCTGACAGAAACAACATGCATTTGTATCTAAATTAAATGTTACCCTCAAAAATTCATTGGAAAGGGTAAATATCATTTAAATTTTTTTAATTCATCACTTTTGCTTTTGGTAAAATCAAATAGACCAAATATATTTTCCTAATATGTTTAGCCTTCTGCTCTCTCCTTATTTCTCCTCCTTGTAAACATATTTTCTTCTCAGCTGACCAGGTTAGTACTTCTTTAACAAAACGTTTCTCATAAACGTATTTGTTACCTTTTCTAACCTAAAACTACAGCCACATGTCTGGAGTACTGCGCCACCTACTGTCTTCCACATGAACTTCACATTTAGGCCGCCATCGCTGTTTCCGGCAGCACATCCGGGCGGCAGATGGCGATCTCGAGTCATTTTACACCAAACATCCAGAGCCGGTTAATGAACAACGCGGAAATACACTGCAGGTACTGAACAGTCGGTTGTGTATTCTGACCACTGTTGTCATCCGTGAGAATGGACTGAACATCCCAGAAGGAGTCAGAAGCTTCTCAGGATCCGTCGTTTGCATCTTAAACCGCTCCGAGACGCATTAATCAGCTGCTTTCTGCAGTTCAGAGACGGGAAGCAGAATGTCTGAGAATGACGGAGCAGCTGTGGGTCTCCTGTCTTATGAGACTCTTGTCCACGCCGTGGCCGGAGCGATGGTAAGAGAACTCCCCTCGACTACACAGCAGCCTTGCAGCACCTTTAGCAGCTCATTTTACCGACAAATCTAGCAACATAAAAAGGTTCTGCTAAGCTAGGAAGAGTTGAGATGGAGTCAATTTAGCAACACCGGCCGTTCACGGTCAGCTTTAAACAGACTGAAAGTAAAGCGCGGCTGGGCGATATTCTGTAGTTATTTTGGTAATACTCGCTTACAAACAACAATTCTTAAGCTTATAAATGCTTATAAATAAGCTTATAAAAGCTTATAAATGCAATTCTTAAGCTTATAAATGCTTATAAATGCTGTATGACATTATAAGCCCAAGTTTATCCAGATTGCCCTTGTAATCCAGCTGTAATCCAGCTACTTTCAGGTGCACTCTTTGCTAACCCAGTGCACACACACGCACAACGTGTAGAATCTCACTAGGTTGGGACTCAGGAGCCTGACGTCACCATGCCTAATACGTCGGGCAGAGGAGTATAAAGCCCCCCAGCACTGGGCTGTGAAGCAGTATATCTCCTTTCTCTGGAGTGATTAAAAGTGCACTATCCACCAGGTATCTCTGGAAGGCATAACATGATATTAATTTTGTCAGACGTTTGAAGAGCTGGAACAGAAAAAAAAACTCCCCTACAGCCAAATTTCAAAAACCCAAAAGTGTGAATAGAATGTTTTTCCTTCAGTATTTCATATACTGTGCCTCACTTAATGCAGTTAAATAGGATTAATTATGCTCTTTACCACGATGCATGGAAGGAGCAGGTACTGACTTTGTCTATGATATGCTCAGAAAAGCACATCATTTAAGTTATCTCAGTAACAATAAATGTCATTATATTGCCCACTCAGAAGTTAGAGTGGCCTTTGTGTGTCCAGATCTAATCATCAGACATCAGTAGCTGATCTCACTAATGCTCTTGTGGCTGAATGCAATCAAATCCTCACAGCAGTGTTCCAACATCTAGTGTAAAGCCTTCTTAGAAAAGTACAGGCTGGGACCACAGCAAAGGGAGCTAACTCACTAATACCTTTCAACTCAGAAGAAATACTGGATGAGCCAGTGTCTCCAAACCCTTTGGACATGAAGACTGACTCTGCCGTCAGTTCCACTAGGATTAAACTGCATGCTGAAAATTCACTAGCATGACTTATTAAAAAAAAGGAAAAGTTAAATTTTAACAGCTTCTTCACTCACAGGTGTAACAGTTTACTTCTGTTTCTTACTATGACGCCCATCTGTAGATTTTTCCTCCACTGTTTCAATTTTGATGCCAAACTTAATTTATTAATTACTTATGAGTCTGAGACCTGGTTGATCAGGGTGTCCATTAGAATCTGAGACCCTTGTTATTAACCAGTTATTGTATGTTGTTCACAGGGCAGTATGACCGCAATGACTGTGTTTTTCCCTCTGGACACAGCCAGAATTAGACTTCAGGGTGAGTTGCTGACATATTGTTGACTGATAAGTGGTTTTACTGGTATGACTTTGCTCTTGGGGGTGTGAGTTCATCTTGATTGTTGCTTAAGAATTTACTGTTTGGTACTAGAATGACTAAATTAACTAAATTCTGATGCTGTCGTTCAGTGGACGAGAACCGGAAAGCCAAATCCACCCCTGTCATTCTGGCTGAGATAGCAAAGGAAGAGGGGATGTAAGTATTAAAAATCAGCTGATATTAAGGCTACACACATTTCTCAGTATCAGTTAAAAATGATGCCGGTTAAAAACGCCAAATATTTTGTTTAGAACAGCTTGTTCGAGAAGTTCTATCACATCACATTGCCCTAATGCTGCTAGGCCAACCAATTGCTCACCTTCATTGTAGCAGTACAGGCTGACCTGGTCAGAGAAGCATGGTTGGTTTAAAACCACTGCAGTCTGTTGACTTTTGACCAAATAAAATTACACTGATCAGTATTGTCAGTGATCAGAATGCCGGCTAATAATATTAACCTTATAGTATAAAATGGAAAAATTTCATACTTTTATACTGTCATATAACACATTACACTTGTTTCCTCTTTGATCATGCAGAATGTCTCTCTATCGTGGCTGGTTTCCTGTAATCTCCAGCCTGTGCTGTTCTAATTTTGTCTACTTCTACACTTTCAACTCCCTGAAGCGAGTGATGGTCACTGGCAAACGGCAGTCCAGGCCTAGCAAAGATCTGGTCATGGGCTTCATCTCAGGTGAGAAACAGCACACGTTTTCTATAATCAGAGCTCAATTTGAAGAAAAAAATCCATCCCACTGGATTAAAGTGATATAATTTAGAATGTTTATTAGCAATATTCGCTTTTCATTTGTTGTACTATGGGGTGTTTGCTACAGCACACACAACCTTTGTCAGGATTGCCAGGGTTTGCATTTTTCTTGCCACATAAAATAAAAAAAAAAGAGTTTCAGCTTCTAGTGGGTGACTTTTAATGAGACTTTGGGTTGGTTGACTTGGCAACCCTGCCGGCTACAGGGAATGCTAAAAATACAGCATTTCAAAAAGGAGAAATGTATGATAAACAGTGTAAACTAAACAGAGATGTTTGTTAATAAAACTTAAAATCGGAGTTTATAATTATGGGGACTGTCTTAACATTTAATTGAATAAATAATATTAAATTAAATAGAAAGTAAAAAAAAAAAAGTAATAAAAAATGATGGCACCCCCACTACATCTCCAGAACGAGAACCGCTAAGCTAACTTAGTGACTTTACTGCCAACAGCATTGCTGATACCATGAAGTAAGTGTTCTGACATCATGTCATGACTTTTTAAATGTTGCTGGTAACTACTGCGAAGAGTTTTTATTAGAGGTAATAAAATACTCGTTCAAGAGCGAACATGTCGAGAAGCACCAATAAACTGTCCAGCAGTAAATATAGACAGCAGTAACTCATGTCTTCCAGTTTTTTTCTTAAGGATGGAAGATGGCTACTTTGTAGAGCTCAGTGTGCCAAAAAATAGCTCAGAGTCTGATTGGGAATGTGTGTGACTGATCCCAGTGCCAATTAATGACAACAGAGCTAACAAATGGTTTGATTTCAGATCTCAGGTTTAAACATTTTGTGTGTATCTTCAAATACACAACTGTAATACAATGATTAAATGATAATTGTAAAAAATAAAGAGATTGGATTGTTATATAGGACATACGTTGTTCAAAGTGAAGAATTATTAAATGGCAATCTAATCACAATTTAGGGTGACACAAAATTAAAATGTGGAACCTACTGGCTTGAATAGGGCTGAAAGCTGAATTGTTTTTATACTGAAATCACAATTTGAAAGAGTACAGTTTTTATCACAGTTTATATTATTATATTATCAACAACATTGTCTTGAATTTTAAGTGAGGAAATTTAACCCAATAACGTTGAGCTCGCAAATTTAGATGAGACAGACCAATAAGAAAAAACAAATGTGAAATCACAACCACAACTAACTAGCAGTGTGGCACATTGAGCGTTCATGCTTAAACCCAGAAGAACTGGATTTGCTGGTGTTCTTGGCCTTGACCTTATTTTATAGAAAACAATTGCAATTTAAATCACAGTCACAATAGTGGTCAGAAAAATCACAATTAGATATTTTCTCCAGCCCTAGGCTTGACATCTAAGTGGCTTGCTTGCTTGTGTAAAGAAAGCCAGGAAAGAAAACAAGAATTTACTGAGAGACACCACAACACCCGCAGAAGTAAAACGCAGTGCTTTTAACTTCTTTAAGAATTGAACTCTCTAACTGGGTATGTTCTGATATCTTCGACAGGGGCCGTGAATGTGCTCCTGACCACACCGATGTGGGTGGTGAACACTCGGCTGAAGCTGCAGGGAGCAAAATTCCGGAATGAGGAACTCCACCAGACTCAGTACAATGGCATTTTTGGTCAGTCCGAAGAGCACTGAAGAACACCTTACATAACCATTACTCCACTGAGGTATAGACTGTCAATGGAAACATACGTACCTCATCCACAAAATCAGAAAACTGCGGTCTGTTTTCCGTTGATCTGTGCACTGCCCACAAATGCATTGTTTGTGAGGTTAGAAGCTTTAAAAAACAAATGTTGTCAACATGAAGCGGTAGCTACAAAAGAGCACATTTGTGGGCGGAGCACATATAGGCCAGTTAATAGAAATTTTTAGTGTAAAAAATGTTGGTTGCTGTAGCTGAATGTAGTCTTTTAGCCACAGAAACTGCAGCGTAACCACAACAGCATACAACATAAATTAAAACGATTTTTTCTGCTCCTCTCCAAGACGCCTTCTCCCAGATCATAGCTAAAGAGGGAGTGGGGACTCTGTGGAACGGCACGCTCCCATCCCTGGTGTTGGTGTTCAATCCAGCGGTGCAGTTTATGTTCTATGAGGCCATGAAAAGGAGGGCAGGGCAAGGAGGAAGGAAGGTGAGCTCATTACTATTTGTTATTCTATTATATATGTTATATCTATATATGAAGATGCTGGATACACACACACACCACACACACACAAACTTACTTCACAAACTAGTTGTTCCTAATGTCACTGTTGTTGATCTTAGTAAGCCTGTATCCTACTAAAGCTGTCATGGTCCCTGTTGGTTGTTAAATTCTGGTTTTAAATGAATCTTACTTTCACTGCAGAAGAAGCATTTACTCTAGAAGGGTGTTTTTACACTGCATGTTCAAAAACAAGCACCTGCCCAAAAGGGAATCTGCTTGAGAGAGCTGGAACTGTTACAATTTAATAGTCTTTTTGGTCATTTAATTAGGCTAATAAGCTACCCTGCTTGCTAGTTAGATTTAACTTATTGGCCGACACATAACGAAATATCACACTTTTTACACAAATGAATACGTGTGTGTCATCAAACAAAGCTTATATTTTTCTCTGAGTGTAAAAATACAAGCAAAAACACTCTTTTGTGGAGGCTAACATAAACGCTAATAGTGGAAGCCTTAGATTTCTTAACTGGCTTATGTCACCTTAGTGAACAATTCACAAAGTAATAATTCTAAAAATAGCAATCAACAATCTTTTGTTTACAAACTTTCTGGTCTGGTATGTGCCAGGGCACACAAACAACAGCATTCCAATGTTGCCATTTGTCTTTATACTGATCTAGAATAAGAACAGAGAAACCACAGTGAATGGGGCAGGACATTCTAGAGACTCCCAACTGACACACACATAGGGTACACCAACCAAACATTTGGATCTGTGTTTGTTGGAGAACACTGGGTTAGGCTGCTCTGGGCTCAGGCTGTCAATTAATAACTTTCTCAGCATGTATCTGCATTCTTTGTGCTGAAAATGCTGGACTTTGTTTTTTGTTGGCTTACAGATTTCATCAGTTGAGATCTTCCTCATCGGTGCCATTGCCAAAGCTATCGCAACCTCCGCCACTTATCCACTGCAGACCGTCCAGGCTATTCTGAGGGTAAACACATTTATTCATTAGTTTATCACTGGGTCTGGAGATTACCTTTACAACTTGACATTTAGTGCGAATTGCTCATGTGCCACCATCTCTGCTATGGCTTCTTCCTCAGTTTGGCCAATACAAATCACAAGAGAAAGGGGGTCTGATGGGCAGCCTACGTAATGTGGTGGATTTACTAATGGACAGAATCAAGTAAGTTCATATGCACAAAAACTCTGCCAGCTCTTCATATGATACAACAAGAGGGTTCTTCATAGGTTCTTTAGTAAAGGCAAAGGTAAAATTTAGAACCGTGGTAACTCAAAGAAACTTTTGAATGTTTGAATGGTTCTTTGCAGAGTTAATTTGTTCTTCTCTTTGACGGAGGAATGGTTGTTAATGCTTCTTGAATCTTCTAAAAATGGTTCTGTAGTAAAAATAGTCAAAGATACTATTTATAAACCCACTTTGCCTGAACTGTATAAACTGGTTACTGAGGGTGATTAATCTGTAGGAGTTTAAAATACATCAGTACATCAGTCTGAGTGTTTCATATACATCAATTTAGGAATGTTAGGATTGATTTATAATTGGTTTGTAAATGTTCAGTAACATATGTGGTGATTTTATGGGCAAAAATATTCAAACAAAAGTAAAGCGTAGTATATTTTACATTGTTCTCAGTACTGTATAAATAGTCCCCCTCAGTCATATTTGTGTAATCAGGGTCTTCTGTAAAATAATTCTGAATTATGTTGAAATTAGAGATTTCATGAAGCATTGAATCATTTCCTAAATAACTGCAACCAAAAGTATTTTGAGGACAGAGATTTACTCCCCTGATAAGTTGTGCAGTCATTTGTCCTTGAAGAATAACCCTCTTGTCCTTGTTCTTATCTCTTTCGCAGGAGAAACGGAGTGATAGGCTTGTACAAAGGTCTGGAGGCCAAGCTTTTACAGACGGTCCTGACGGCAGCTCTCATGTTCGTGGTGTATGAGAAGATTGCAGCAGTCACCTTCAAACTGATGGGCCTCAATAAGAAACTAAAGCACTAAGATCGGTGGCCTTATAACAAACAGTAAAGCCTTGAACCTAACCAGATACAGCCTTATCACTTACCTACCTCTCTAACCTCACTCAGGCACATGCCACATACTAATGGTCATACTAGGTCTACACTAACTATGGCTTTATAATCCTGCAAGTCTTAAACAGGGGTTCACTAAGTTTGAGCGTTCAAGTAGCCCACATCACAAGCATTTTTTGTGCTGACCATTCAAATCAAAATGATGGGCCTTTAGTGACTGTTGCAGTTGCTGAGGACTCTGAACTCTAAACAGTAGAGTTTAGAGACTTAAAATAACAATGGCTTGGCTTATTATAACTGGCAGCACCACACTTGCTAGTTAATAGTAGATCACTTTCTAAAAGGGGAAAAGACAGAACTGTCTGCTTGTACATATTGGAAACAATAGCTAGCTTGCACAGCTGGATTGACGGTTATGGCAGTATGGTTACTTGGCAAAAGAGGTGCGCAGCCAGAAGCAGCGTTCAAAAAAAATGTAGTGTGACCCTTCCAAGACTGCTGTGTGCCTTTTGCCTTCAGAAAACCATTGTGAACCCCCCTCCTTTTAAGACTTGCTGTAAAACGTTTCATCATATTTTGACAGCTTTCGTTTTAATCATGCATCTCCAACCTGTGTTACAGACAGCAGTATTGCATCACGTACATAGTTTGTTCCTATGTGGTGGTTACATTGTCTTACCTCTTTTTTTAACATTTTCTTTAGCCAATCAAAAGAACAGCCAGTCTATTCTACAGTCTTTATACACAAATCTGTAGAGATTTAACTTACTTTTGTTAGCAGTATGTGGGCAATGAACTGATGTTGAATTATTGTAGATAAGTAAGTTGTATGTGTGTATCCAAACTGAGAGAAGTGATTACATCTCCGTATTCCGAGATGGAAAACTGTTAATTAACAGCTGCACTGATTATAGGTGTTTACATGATCTTGATTATTTAAACAATATTTACAGTGAGTGCACTTTCTTTTGAAAAAAATTTAAGTTAATGCAACAGTAACTCTGATGCACCTTCTGCATTTTTGGTACTGACCATCAGTACATGTGACCAGTAAAGGGAGAAGAAGGCACTGTTTGTAGAAAAGAATGTAATTGTTCACAGCACTGCTGACTTTTTTATGCAAAGCCTCAAATGATCTGTATCTGTCCTTGTGTTAAATGCCTGAGTTAAATAGAATCTCACTGTAAATGTGCAATTAGTTTTTGAACTTCAAGTGGTGTAAAAGAATAACAATATCTGTGATGTTGATTTGTTTTATGAACATTTAATTTGTATAATGACAATTTTGTATGTGGACATACGTACATGATGCTACTAAGTATAAAAAATTTACTTAATTTCATGTAAAATTAGTATGTAATCACTTAATTTGTATTATCCAACAAAATTTTCTACATCTCACTGAAGCTGGGATTAATCAATCAGAGCTACTCAGACAATGTAAACTTGTTTACATTATAATTATAATATCAACAGTCTTCGTACTTGAACACCTTGTGTGCGATTCACCCTTATTTGTGCAACTTTTTTTCTTTAACTAATTTCCTTGAATGTAAATTTTTTGGTCATGGTGAAATTAAATCAGATATAGATTCTACTTGTATTAAAAGGTAGTTTGGCAGGAAAAAACCTTGTTCATGCGTGCCTTATAAAGCAAGAAACAATAATGAGTTACACTCATTAGGGGAACATACTGAATCTTACAACAGACAAATGGTTTATTTACACTGAGCTTAGTACAATTCATGAATGCAAGAGAGACTTAAGTGTTTATTGCTTTGTTTTCTTGGATAGTTTATGTTTGAGGCTTTAAAGGGCCCATACCCTACATCTCTGAGGTCCAGGTATGAGGTTTCTATGAGGTTATGTACCAAAATCAGTCATAATTCATTTTTACATGACCATTTTCCAAAATTTCTTCATCCCTTAGAATTAAACAGGATGTTTTTGTTACTGTGCCTGTAAGACTGATATGGCTTGAATGCATCATTCCTCCCTGTAACTTCAGAGTAAATAGGTGGGGCTAAACTGCTATAAGCTGAATAGGGGGAATATATGTAAATGTTGCTTTTTGTGACATTAAAAAAACAAAGAATTCAAAACAGGCTGTTTTTGCAGCAACAATCCTTACATCCTATGTCAAACATTTGTGAAGATGTAAACACTTTGTTTTTCGATGATATAGGCCCTTTAAATGATTTTTGATCATATTAATGTAACTTTGATAACAGCATACATAGAAATCTTAAACAAGAGACAATGAGACAAACTTTTAAAAAAGTAAACCACTTATTTTGCAACTGCTTGTCACTGACAGCCAGACCACAGTGAACAAGTCCTGATCGCATTTCTTAATGTAACTTAGTCTCCCCACCTTAATCCATAAAACAGATCTCACAAATATTCATCTCAACAGCGGTCAAGTCACCTCCAAGACCTAAAAGTGTCCATGAAGAATTAAAAATTATGCCTGGCTGTGTGAAGGAGACTACTGTGTATTTTGGACATTGCATTACCAAACAACTTCGAATTGGGTGGTAAAATTGTACCACAGTATTGGTATACAATTACACATCACAGGGTCAGCGTCATTCAATCCATTGATAAGAAACTAGCTGACCCACAGGAAGGCACAACCAGCTTCAGCAGTTAAATATGTACAGATAACAGTTCATTTTCAGGGTTAGGTTAGTGGCGTGTCTCTGGAGCGCGGTGACTTGCTATTTCCTTAACATACCAGTCTGGCAGGAATGTATATTCAGAGTCTCTGTGAGCAGAGAATGTCACATCTCTGTGTGGTTCCCAAGCAAACAGGTACACCAATCTGAAAGACAATGTTAGGAAAAACTAAGCATGTACGCTCTGCAACCAGGAGAAAGATATGAGTAAATCTGTGTAACAAGCAAACTCCATACCTTGGGTTGTCTTCCTTTACAACAGATTTCACAAAGGACAGGAAATCACTGCAGAAGTTCATGCAGACTGTCGGCTTCCAGCAGTTGTACTCATTCTATAAGAGAAACAGAGATTTACATAACTCATTTTCATGACCAGAAGAAATGAAAATTTCCTATTATGATATCAGCGACCAAAATTATTAAAGGTTTCAGTATTATTGCAAAAATACACTGAAAAAATTTAAAAGGTAAAGCTGCACATATGCACTGTAAAGATGTAACAATGCCTTGTTTAGAAAGGACATTCTATTAATTGTGCCATGTAATGCAACTGCATGGTTTAAACACAAAAGTCTGCAAATAATCATCACAAATCAACAACTCACTCCAGCGGTCCTCCTCCTTCCCAGCTCTAGTGTCATTAACCAACAACATTAACCAACATCATGGTTCTAATCATTTCACTCAAATTATGTTCAAAATATCATAAGAATACTGAACTGCGAACCAAGTCTCATAAATTGAATCAAATTATCAGCTCATAAATTGAATCTAATTACACCCCACTTAAAAAGCATTATACATTATAGTGATTAGACATTTTATCAAAGAAATCAACTACAGTTTAAATAATTATGAAATCATCAGCACTGTTCTCACGCGTTCTGTAGCGGTACACTATAGACTCCCCCTGTGATTATAAAAAGACTTGGTAATCAAAGTCATTAAAAAATTGAAACAATACAAGTGTTACTGTTTTTATACCCAATAAAATTTAATTCAAATATTAAATCCGGCAACTACCCCATTCATAACAATACTGTTTTACTACCTCAGTAACTGCTGTGTTTATGTATGTTATCTGACGTAACTTACAGATCACATCATTTTAAATATGTCTGCACCTTATTCCACTACTTCATGTCCAGAAATCTGTGCTGTGTCGGTGCTACACTGTCCGGTCTGTTTACTGTGTCTAATGTCTGTTTAATTTATCTTATTTATTGTATTGTTTCTAGCTTAATTTTTGTAATTTTGTACTTTTTGTTCCTTGTTGCACCTTGTTCCTGGAGGAACGTAATTTCGCTCCACGGTGTACTTGTACATAGTCGGAATGACAATAAAAGCCTCTTGACTTGACTTGAGTTGACATTTCCAGATTTCCTTTTACATCATCCTAATTTGAAGGGATAGACTCTTACTTTATAGTCAAGTTATTAATCCAAACCAACCTTGATGAGCTGGGATATTTTGGAGATGTGGAACGTCTCTACGGAAACTACTACTCCATCCTGATCTCGAAAGCCAGCGACTATTCGTGGAACTCCAGGAAGAAACGACTGTGCCCACCATTTGAGCAGCTTGTATCTATGAGAGAAATATATTACCATTTTTTTGTTCTATAATTGGCAAAATGACTAAGAAAAAGACAGCACTATTTTTACATGTCAGTCAAGTAATAATCATTAAAACAGTCACAGAAATAAAAAATAAACCCCAGTTTAATATTAATATGCTCTATCAACCAAAATTTTTATAAAAAAAACAAATGAAGACTTTACCTAGTGGCCAAAATTCATCAAAAGCATAAAGACAGTCTAAAGCAGGAAAGAGAAAAAGGTCCAGTGTAGCTGCAGTACATCTGATTTTACTTGTGTAATCAATTGCTCTGCACTGCAGCCACACTGGCACTTTGTGGATAAGACAGAACGCCCCTGGTCTAAACGCACACCTGTGGAAGTTACTGCGCTGTTTTGGGGTACAGATTTCAGCAGAGGTTTTGAGCTCAACGTAGCAGGCTGGAGCTGGAGGAGATTTGGGGTCTTTGTCCTGACAGTCCACCTCCCCAGAGAAAAGCAGCTTATGATCAGCCAGACGAGTCTGGACCACAGTGCAGAAAGCCTCATTAGTGTTGACCACTCCACTTCCATCTGGAACACTATGCACATCATCTAAAAAGAAGAGAAAAACAAAAAATATTAAAGAAGTTTGTTAACTGCTGGTGAACAGGTTTACTTTTTAGCTGCTTATTGTCCAAAATAAAAAAGCAAACATCAAATACATCTTGACTGATCAACAACATCTGAGGTAAATGGACATTTTGCCAAATTGTCACTTTGAGAACAACTTCTATCAAACTAGTGATAATATTTTTATTTTATATAATTATTTTGAAAATTATAATACCTGCACAGACATACTGCTCAAACTTATAACCCCAGTACATCATCTCCTCATGCCTCTCCGTGCGGTTCTCTCTGTTCACTTGGGCAGCCTCCGTCTCCACTTCACTCATGTAAAGAGTGCCACTGAATCTCGACACGGCCAGCAGCCATCCCTCCTGGGTCTCATATGGAGTGGTCAACAGCTTGGTTAAGTGGCCTCGCCATGTCACAAAGTCTACACCTAGAGCACTGGAAATTAATGTGGTTCAGTACTTTCTGGCACACAGCCCAAAACAGGACAGCATGTGCCCATAACATGGAAACACATTTTACCCTGGCCTTTTTTTTTAAACAGTAAGAGAGTCTGATGTAGTATAGCAGTAAACATGTTTAAAATTGCAGAACATACCATTCACTCCTTAGTCTTACAGCTCATTTTGAATTCAGTTTTTGTGATGTCATAAAAACCAGCACACACATATATCCCCCTTCTAGGGTAGTAAGGGGGGTAGGCGGTCCTACTCAGCCTAAAGCAGTTTAGCCCTGCCAATGCACACTGAAGTTAGGTGTTTTAGCCCTGACTACTGTGCACAACACAGGGCCGATCAGAACAGATGTCATTTACATATATAAAGGCATAGTAACAAAAATAGCCTGCATTTTAAGGGACAAGTGTGAGAAGGGTAAGGTGAAAATGAATGTATTTTTGTCTTAACCACATATAAGTGGACTTTAGAACAATATAAGTAAAATGCAGAAAACAGGCCCATTTAAGAGCCAAAGGATCTAATGAGGCAACATCCTTACCAGGCTGATGATGTGGCAGCATTTCTTGAGTGGAGTTTGGCTCTGTTCTCCAGAATCCACCGTAATAAATGGTCAAGCCTCTCTTTCACACTTTCATCCCTTTTTATAAAGCGGTCGCGGTAACCGTCCCTCAGGTTGAGATTAGGGCTTTTACCGGGGTCAGAGTAATACCGGAGCTGTCTAGAGTCGCTGAAAAAGTTACGCTCTGAATCCAGAGAAAAGAATCCAACTTCCACAGGCTGTTTGTATACTGGAAAGTCGCGCTCGTACAGCTGTCTCCGTGTACTCAGGGACTGGGGAACTGAACAAAATGTTTGACCACCTGGTCGAAAACGTTTAGAAGCACAACCCTCAGCGTCTCTGTCTCTTTTATGCTGATACGGGGCGCCGTTACCGCTTCGAGGAGCGTCCGAGTGCCGTGTTTTACCGCGGCGATGCTCCATGTTTTAATTATTTGCTACTGATAATTTGCTAACATTTCATACCCAGATATTGACTCGTATCACGACTTAATACATGCTATTTAACAATTCTGATGTGTTGTGGAGGATTTACAATGAAGTGTATCCAATAACAACTCCTGAAATATTAGCCAGCCAGCTATAACAGACGGTATGTAAATGTAGCTACCAAAGCTACCAAAACAGAACCTTAGCTAGCACTGGATACTCAACGAGCTGTATCAATTACTCTTCTCAGTTTTAGCTACAGTTCAGAAATATACGTTAATTGATAAAAACGCTTACACTCTTACTGTTAAAAAGCACACATAGAAGATTTATGAAGTTAAAAGCGGTCTGGGCAAAAGACGATACTGTCACAGCAATGGATGGTTAGCTATTTTGATTTTTACGGGGAGACCTGTGACCCCGCCGGCAGTAACTGGCTTTCAAAATAAAAGACACACGCAAGTACAAATAATTAGTAAAAGTATGAAGTATTGTTTTCTGCTGTGAATATTAAACACATGTACTATATAATTGATGGCATTATATGTATGTTTATAGAAAATCTATATTTCGATGGAATCTCAGGATGTATTTTTTTTTAATTTTCTTTTTATTGGGGAAAGTCTTTTGAAAAGAACATTATGACTATCTAAGGACAGTTCCATTATGGGCCTATTCAGTTGCTTTACTTTCAATGCTTGTATGCTTTCATATACCTATATACACATAAATGCACATAAATACATAAATACCTACATACACACAATCCTCATTTCCTAATCTTTGCTTTTCTTATGATAAACATATTTTGATAATACCCTCCATATCAATAATCATTATAAAGGAAGAGGAAAAGAAAAAAGGAAAAGAGAGAGAGAGAGAGAAAAAAATGAGGAGGGGGGGTGTTATTCCAACTAAAAACATGAAAATTTCTGACTTTCCCTTCAGATTAGCTCCTTAAAAAACTATTTACATTACAAAAGTGGAAGCGTGTTCTTTAATTGAGAGGAGAGGAAATAAAAAGGTAGGTCATAAAAAGCCTACAAAACCGACAAGTTCTGGTCGCTGGGGTCTTATATATACTAACCACTTAGACCAAATCTGACAGAATTCTCAGGATGTATTTGACCTAATCCTAGATCTTTGCCGTAGGAGGACTATTCAACAGACTTCTCCCAAATGGGCTAAAGTGTGGTTTAAAATGTCCACAAACCTGTTGTCTCAATGTTAGGATTATTGATATTATCATTCATTCATCTTTCATTTATAATTGATTCATCTTTGTTGTATCAAACAATATCCTAAGATATTGTATTGTACAATACAAAATCATAACAATACTGCAGTCCCACTCCTGGCTCGTGCTGTAGAAGCGCGGGAGGCGTGGCCATGCAGTGCGAGGAGACTGTGTTCAGCGTTCAGACTGGTCAGCACTGCGTTCACAGTAACAGAGACTTTTAATGTAAATAAATTATAGTTTTTAGCTTAATGATGTGCAGTTGTGTTGTTGGTACTATTCTGTGCTGGGCTATGGGGTTAGTTGGTGCAGTGTTAGTGCTACTGTGAAGAGAAAGTGTATGACTAAGTTTATGTATATAAGCTCTATAGAGTAATTTAGTCGCAAATATCAACATTTTTTCAATATTGTTCGTGTGAATTTATTATATCACATATTTCATGTTCGTTCATGTTTGTTTTACTTAGATCTAGTAACGAAGGTAATTCCTATGCTGATTACCTCTATTTGGTTCACTATTTTATTGAAGTAAAACACTTCAGAGTAGCTCAGGTTATTCTAATTCTTTCTGATCAATAAACCAAAGTCATTCCTGTTTTCTCTGCTTGTGATCAGAGGCTACCAACAAATTCTTGCAGGTTTGAACTACAGCTGTAGGGGATCAGAGGGAAACCTGATCACTAAATCATGCCTTAAAGGCTCTATCCACTAGAGGGAGTACATGATACGTTTCATCTCTCCAACTAAACTTTAAAGACAAAAATGGGCTGTGGAGCTGTGCAACTGCATTCTCTGGAGTGCCACAACACCATCAAATACCTGTGAGTTGGAGCAGATTTTGTGACCCAGAACTAGTCATCCAGTATCAGTACCTGACCTCACTAATACTGTAGCGGCTGAATGCAATCAAATCCTCACCACAGTGTTGCAACATCTAGTGTAAAGCCTTCCCAGAAGAGTAAAGGCTGTGAGCACAAACTCCTTGTTAATACCCATGACTTCAGAAGAAATGCTGGATGAGGAGTCTACAAACTTTTAGACATATAGTGGATGTGGAACTAAAGCAAAGTGACAACAGTGTCCAGTAGAGGGAAAAAGCTTTATTTTCACAATGGATGTTAACATCAAGAAGTATGGGTTCTTATGACGATCAGCTTCCATAGAAAATAACGTGTATTCTGAAAGAACAGATATGAATGAACTAGCAAGAATAAAGAGCCTTTCAGTTTGCAAAGTACACAGCGTCCAGCAGCAAGCACTTCTTACACATTTTATACAGCAATCCTCAGATATCCTGAAACGCATTCCTTGAAGAACTTAATTTTTTCTATTCATATACTACAATTCATTACATACCATTGAACCATGGAAATATTGTGTAAAATATAGTACAATCAATTAGCTTACATGATAGAATACTACTTAAACTGATGCATGGCAGTCCATAAATCCAGCAACAGACTGAGACACGAATAGCAGGATCAAGTTCATTTAGGACATTATAGTAAGGAATAAGGAGTTATAGGCATCATTTTTTAGCTCTGCAGAGCAATCAGTCAAAGCCAGAGTAGGAAGTGTTAAAAAATTAAGCTATATATTATTAGAAACGGTAGTATAGCTATTGTAATCATATGTTCAGCAACACTCTGAACATAGCAAACAAACTGAGGAGGTGGGTCACTGAATCTGTTACCAGAAAGGGGTGTTAAAAAGCCAGTCTAAACAGAAAATAAACAACCAAACAGAAAACCACAAGAATATTCACTGAGAAGAACAGCAGAACAGCTAAACAAAACTCTAACACTTTACTTGAACTGTGGTATATAACACTGACATTACCATACCATAAACATGTTATGTCATATGCTTGAGTCATCATAAGCCTGAGTTGTCATGACAGATTATATAACACTGTCATGTTACCATTACTGGTTACTGTCCTGACAGATGCCACAATGTTTGATGTCATGACAGCTTATGTCACATATTTTTTTTGCTGTATTCTCTAGTTATCAAACATGTCATAACAGTTACTGATACCGGTACATGACACTGTTATATTAATGCAAATAATCTGTAATGACAGCAGTAACTCATGACCGCATATGACATCCGTCATGACATGCTTATGGCATGGTTATGTCAATGTTACATAGCAGTGTTCAAGTAAAATGTTACCAAGAAAGCACTGGAAAAAGAGTCCTTCTCAGAAATGTACTTAACAAGGAGGACCAGTAAAAGCAAGCCGTTACTGTCATATCAAACCATGTAACTTCTTTTTTTTCATTTGAAAAATGGTCCAAAATGACATGGAATAATATTTTATTAAATAACGTACATAAAGAACGTTTGCCTTCAAGTTACCATGTTCGAGATACATGGTTTTCTTAGAACAGCAACTAATTACTTTTTATTTCCCACTCGAATTGTAGACACTGGAATAGTCCTTCTGAAAAGACAAAACTACAGAAGCCTGGAAACTGCAAGAATTTCAAAAACTCGATCTCTGCGTCAAAGCAACGACTCCTGAGATATCATTAATAGTGGACTAAAATGCTTCTGAAAAGTTGGTGCGCTCGTCGGGCCTACTGTAGATCTTGGCTGAGTTCCTGTGTAGTGTTTGAGGTTGGAGAGGTTGGAAAGCCACTTTGCGAGTGTGTTTGAGCATCTGAGTGTCTCCCTCCCCCTCCCCCTCTCTCTCTCTCTCCTTGTTTAAGCAGAGACTGGCTCGCTCATCTGTGTCTAGTGGACACGTTTCTGCATTTGTGAACTCTGACCCATCCTGCTGGGGGTCATTCAGGCTGGGCAGAGCTGGAGCCCCAGGAGAAGAGGCTGGGCAGCCTGTAGCCGGAGTCCCTTCTGCCTGGGTCCGGAAGAGTGAGGGTCTCCGGGGCAGATTTCTTCCGTGGTCTGTCTTTGGGCACAGAGAGAAAGTCCGGAGCCTCGGTGGACAGCGGGGTGGACGGGGCGCTGGAGGGTCCACTGCGGCCACAGCCCGGCAGGGGCGTCTCGCTGATGGAGATGGCCGGAGGGAAGGTCCCCAGCTTCTTATTGGTGGCTTCCTGCGTGGCACGCTCGTACTCTCTCACCTCCTCCATCGTCATGTCTTTCAGAGAACACAAAAAGTCTCTTAGTCACACTACAAAGCAGTCCAAGGCTTTTTTATAAAATAAAGAGAAAAAAATTGTGAAGAACACTTTCTGAAAACTGAAGAAATATGAAAAAAAGTCAAGTCGTGAAGTCGAATGGTAAGGACAAAAGCTCTTTTGCTTGGATCACGACATCTGACAAACTTCTGTCCTGCAATCCCACACTGGTTAAAGTTTGCTAGTAAGAATGGTGGACAGGCTTAGTGATGTGGTGGTGAAGAATAAGGGTGGGGCCAAGGCAAGGAGAGGAAAAAAACATGGCTCAGCTCATATATACTAACAAAATCAGATGATATTTAACTTTATTCGATTTCTAGGCATATCTATATAGATATGGGCCATTCTACCAAATTAGTTCAAATTAAGCGTTCAGACCATAAATGTCTTGCATTATATTATGATCTATATAACCCAAGGCATTAAATAAGAGAGTAGTTAGCTACAGATATACAAAATTATCATGTATATGGTAGTTTCTATTAGGAGGCAGCTGTTCCAAACATTTTCCATTGCTGTTCTTAAAAAATATTTTTTTCTTAAAAACTTCTTTTAAGGTGGAATTAAAAGATTTAGATTTATCATAAGTTTATTTATAATAAAAAAAAAAAACTTGCTGTTTGTTATCATGTCACTACCGAAACACAAAAGCTGTATTCCATTCCACAGGGTCCCTAAGCAGTATGTGACATGATGTACATGTGTTACAAAATCTGAAAATCAGCGTGTAATATTACGAATTGTCACTACAGAAACAGATTTTCTGCACTTAAGTATTTTTTTGTGTTTTAATAAAAAAATATTGTGAAAGCTCTTTAAAGCTGTGCTTGCTAGTCATGAACTGGTTAGTGTTTTTGAGTTCTGTTTAAAATGAGCTAAATTGTTACAATAGAAACAGTCGCCACTGAAACAGTTGGTAAAGTTTCAGTAGTGTTATCATTGTTTTTTTTTTGTAGTGACAAAATAAAATGTTCAATCATTCATTTTAATAAAATAAACATGATTAAAGTATAGGGTCACTTAAAGCAAAAGGAATTTAG